GGACTGAGACCACGGACTCCAAGTCTGGGAACGGGGAGGGATGAGTGTAGTTTACAATTTTTTCCTCAATAAATTAGAACCCAATTGCTCAATTTTGATTGGCATTTTATGCATTGAAGTAAAAGCTAATTTTTTATAAGTTCAATTTGTTCATCCGCAATACTGTATATGGTAAATTTGCTGTTTAAAAATGAGAAATAAGACTTCTCCATCTTCAAATGTGATATTAGTTTTGTAGGATGTGCAAATAATAACCAAAAATTTCCTAGGGGTACGGGGAACAGAGAAGGTTGGGATCCACTGCCCTAAAGGCATCAAACACATCTGATCTTAGAAGTCAAGCACTGTCACCCCTGGTTAGTAACTGGATGGGGACCACCAAAGAATACCAAGTACTATAGGCTACATTTCAGAGGAAGGAACTGGCAAAGCCAACTCTGAGTATTCCTTGCCTAAGAAAACTCTATGAAATTCATGGGGTCAACATAAGTCAGCAGCGAACTTGAAGGCACATGTTGTCATGCCTTGTTCCCAAGACCTAGGTTCAGACTCTGACACATATGCACAAGCAAGCCACCTTGGGTCTTGCACGCACACGCGCACACACCTTCACTGACACAACTAATACACCTGTACCATGTTGTGTAAAATTCAGAACAATCTTGGTTGTCTCTTGATTGTCCCTTGGCAGTTTCTGTAGACCAGCACAAACCCTACTTACCTCCAAATGTTTCTTCAGATTAGATGAGGAGGTAATGGCTGCGCTCACAGTCTTATAAGCCGGCAGGCAGTAATTGCATTGCACGACCAGGTTCTTCCCCCTCTGGCGGACGTACGTAAAGGCTTTCTCAAAGCCAGACCAGGGTACTTTCCGCCGTGCGACTGGGGCTGGGGACTTTTGTTCAACTTCACACACAGAATCCTCGTTCAGCTGTACCTCCACGACAATTGGTGATGCATCGGCACTGTGTACCGCTGCTGGGAGCTTTGTCTCCAACTGGCGGGCATCCACCTGAGCTGCAGCAGCATCACCTATGACAAAAAAGATCAGCCTGTTTTCAAAATTAGGAAATATTTAACCATTTCAAATCATCACCTAGGACGAACAAAGATTTCTCTAGCCATCTCCACTCCAGAAACCACCTGATAGGGACACAAAGAGCAACATGTAAGGCAACTTCTAAAATGAATCTGCACAAATGATAGGGCTCGCCCTATAGCAATGGCACCACTTTTACAGGAAAAGAGATTCCACCTCAACATTAGGAAGAATTTCCTGATAGTAAGAGCTGCTTGACAGTGGAACACACTCCCTCAGAGAGTGGTGGAGTCTCCTTCTTTTGACATTTTTAAACAGAGCCTGGAGGGCCATCTATCAGGGGGTGCTTTGATTGTTTATTTTTGCATAGCAGGAGGTTGGACTGCATGGCCCTTGAGGTCTCTTCCAACTCTATGATTCATTCACACCAGCAACTGCTTCCACACCAGCATTAAAGACAGCAATGCCGACGATGCTAGTGTACTGCACCGACCACTGTGAGAATGCTACCTCTCTACAGGAATTAATGTTGGCACACCAGAAAAAAATAGGTAAAAGGTACTCCTACCTGTGCAAGACATATCTTCTAAAGCACAGCTACTCAAACTATCTGATATGGAGGATTGGTAATTTCCCCCTCCCACCCCCAGGATGCCAGGGATGAGTATTACCTTATTTTCCTGCGTATAAGACTACTTTTTTACCTGCAAACTCTGTGGCTAAAGTGGGGGGGGGGGGTCGTCTTATATGCCGGATATAAGGATTATGAGGATAGAGGTGCTAAAACTCTATATTTTGACTGGGAAAATGGGGGGTCGTCTTATACGCGGGTCGTCTTATACGCCGGAAAATACGGTAATTGTGTTTTAACTTTTGTACTTATGGATTTTTAACAAGGGAGCAAAGTAAACAGGCCCATTGATTTCAATTGTTTCTTTCCTGGAAATTCACCAGAAGCTCAACCACTTTGCCTAGCATTGCTATAAAGCAGGGCACACAGACATCTTTGAAAAGGGTTGGGTAAATACATGGAAGGGATCTAGGAGCCAATTTCCAACCCTTTAACTCAGGGGTAGGCAACCTAAGGCCCGGGGGGCTGGATGCAGCCCCCTGAGGCCTTTGGACCGGCCCTAGGCCGGTCCTGCCGCCGCCGCCACCCCCCGCCATAATGATATTGATTATTGTTATTACTTGTTCTTGGGGTTTTCTTGGCAAAATCTCCACAGAGGTTTTGCCATGGCTTTTCTGGGGCTGAGAGAGTGTGCATGCATATTTTTTTAATATTTAATTTAAAAAAATATTATTATTTATTTATTTATTTTTGGTGCTTCGGCCCCCCAATTGTCTGAGGGACAGCAACCCAGCCCCCGGCTCAAAAAGGTTGCCTACCCCTGCTTTAACTCCAAGTGGGCCACACTAGCTCTCCCAAAATGAAACTGGAAGTGACCAAAGGTTAACATCAGGTATTGTAAAACCACTTTCAGGCAGATTAGGGGCAAAAAGGAGGTGTGGAGGTGACTTGTTTAAAAGAAAACGGCCATTTATTGAGGATTCTGAGAGTATTATTGTTATTGAATTTTGCAGAGATGAGGATTATAAAAAATAAAAGGGGGGCTAATGGGGATCTCAAAGAAAGCTGTACAAAAATGTTGGGATCACACATGGCCCCTAGGCCAGTTGACTTCCTGGCCCTTGCTCTACAGTTGCAAGGATATCATAGATCCTGCAAAGGTTATTTAGATCAAAATTTCATGAGTCTTTTTGCTCTCATCCTTGTAAAATGAAATCTCCCCATACCCTAATGATGGACTAATTATCCATGCCTGTAAGAGGAAAAGGTTGATGATAAGGCACATTCCATACCTATTTCAGTATTTAGATGTATATCCCATTTTCCCACATAACTCTCCCCACGGAAGTGGAGAACAAACAAAATAAAATACAAGCTGACATAAACCCTGAGAAGTTAGACTGGCATCCTCCCTATTTTCTTTTGGCAGACAAGCAAAGACTTTTCTCTTCCAACAAGCATTTGATGAGTGATGATATAAGGCCCATCTTACACAATGCACTTGATGTTGCTAATTGCTGTGCTGGGGTGTGTGTGTTTTGATAATACATGCTTTAACCTGGTTTTAATTTTTTCTGATTCCTTAATTGTGGTTTAATTGTGGTTTGTATTTTGTGGATTCTTAACAATGCCTTTTAATTGTTGAAAGCTGCTTTGAATCCAACAACAACAACAATTTCAATGAAAGGCCCACATGGGCCTTGGCCCATCTTTGGCAATAAAATCCCTATAACAACAACAACAAAACCCACCACGCTGACAATTCTGGCCCTTTTATAAGACCTCAAATATGAGAGTGGGAGATCTGAACAGAAGCTAATTTTATACTATTCTCCTTTTTCAATATCATACTTTTCTTTGTTGTAGAACTAACGGGGGGGTGTTAATAGAGGAAGGGAACATTACTACTTTTGTTTGATGTTATGCTTTAAAACAGGGATAGGCAACCTAAGGCCCAGGGGCCGGATGCGGCCCCCCGAGGCCTTTGGACCGGCCCCAGGCTGGTCCTGCCACCGCTGCCGCTGCCTGCCCTAATGATATTGATTATTGTTGTTATTACTTGTTCTTGGGTTTTCTTGGCAAAATCTCCACAGGAGTTTTATCATGGCTTTTCTGGGGTTGAGAGAGTGTGCATGCATATATTTTTTAAATTTTTTTAAAAAAAATATTTATTTATTTATGGTGCTTCGGCCCCCCCAATCATCTGAGGGACAGCAACCCGGCCCCCGGCTCAAAAGGGCTGCCTACCCCTGCTTTAAAATATAATTAATACAATATATATATATTTTAAACACAAATCTGTGGCCTGAAGCAGCTGCCCTACTCAGGCTAGTTGTAGGGCTGCTCCTGACATGTACACATAGCAGTGCCACTGTTTAGAAGCTGATAGACCTCAGGGTTCTTCTAATAAAGAAAAACCAAGGCAGATATAATTCTGCCCACCCAGGAATGAACATGTGGTGAGTCCAAGATACACTGCACCAAAAGCAGTGGGTGCAATGAAAGCATCCTTTAGCAGATTTCCAAGGGGAAGAAGCAATTACATTTCCTTTGTCATTTAAGTTACCGCTCAAGAAGAGCCTTGCTAAGTCAGGCCCAATATGCAAGATCAGGCAGGAGAGACGGGGAGGGGGGCTGAGACTGTAAAACTCTCTTTTAGTGGTGCTCTACCTGGCTCTTTCCCTTTATGTCCTTAGGCAAAGAGAGCCACATAGTTCAGGAGAATTGGGCCAAAGGTCTGTCTAGGCCAGTGTCCTCTTTCCCACAACATTCAGCCAGTACTGTGTGAAACAGAACTTCCCACTGTCCATTCTGAACCTGCTTTTCCAAAGGATGACGCTCACATTTGAACTCAGAACTTCAGGCCTACCCATCAAGATGGCCTCCTGCTCCTCTTCCGCCTCAGAGATGCAGATCTCCACTGTGTCTGACAGATCCTGCTTCAGTGTCGGGGAAGTAATAAATGCTTCCTCCACTAGTCCCGACCCCTGAAATACAAGGAGGCACTGTGATTAAAGAGACCAAAAGTCCAGGGCTTATACCTTGTAGGCACAGGATGTGGCAACCCTACTGAAGCTAAGCCAAGCCAGGTCTTGGGCTGGTGAGAAACCACCTGGGAAGCCCTTGCATACCCTTCTCTGAGTTATATGAAGGAAGAAAGCATGGCTAGAAATGCCAGCAGTGGTAATCCAACACTCCAGGTTGGCACCAAGTTGGGGGAAAATTCAAGAACCCTTGTTGTTTTATTCTTATTATGTGTCTTCAAGTCACCTCTGACTTAGGGCAACCCTATAATAAGGTAGCTGGGAAGGTTTGGCAAGATTTATTCGGAGGAGTGTCAATATAAAGCTGGAGAATTTGACTGGCCAGAGGTTACACAGAAGATTTTCAGGCCTGAGCAGGGATTCGAACCCCAGTCTCTCAGGTCCAAGCCCAACACTCAAACCACTATACCACACTGTCTCTCCAATGTACCATACATCTGATTAACTGGGGCTATGAGTCACTGAAGTATTCAGCTCTTCTCTGCCACAATGAATTTGTTAAAATGCTATGAAACTTCAGAGAATCCTCTCTGCTGAGTCAGACAAAAGGCACAGTTTGTGATAATTACTTTTCTTTTTTATTTGCACTGTAAGTCCCAAAATCCCAAATAATTCCATGCTTACTGGCTATGCTGAACAGAGGGCAAGATTTATTCAGAGGAGATCCACCACTGACTTCCTCTGAAGCTGAAAGAGTGGGACTTTCCCAGCTGGACCAATGGTGATTTGAACCCTGGTCTCCTGGAGTCCAAAAGCCTTTACAGACTGCCAGAAATAATGCAGCTTGAGACCACTTTAACTGCCCTGGCTCAGTGCTAGGGAACCATGGGAACTGTATTTTATTGTGGCACCAGAGCTCTCTGACAGAGAAGGCTCAATGTCTCAGAAAAAACTACAATTCCCATGATTCCCTGGCAATGAGCCAGGACAGTTAAAGTGGTCTCAAGCTGCATTATTTCTGGCAGTCTGTAAAGGTCCCAAGTTATTGACAAACTGGAACGTGTCCAGAGGAGGGAGAAGAAAATGGTAAAAAGTCTGGAATCCATGCCCTATAAGAAGCAGGTTAGGGAACTGGGTATGGCTCCCTCCCTGCTGGCCTTTCCCTGAGATGTAAAAACATTTTTATGCAGGCAGGATTTTAAAAATCATGCAAATCATTATTTGGGGAGTTGTTTTAGATTATGTTTTTAAACTTTTGTATGTTTTAAAATTTAACTTTGTCAGATTTTAATTAGGTTATTCTAATTGTCTTTTACAATTACAATGTGTTTTTTATATTGTGAGCTGCCTTGGGCCCCTTTTTGGGAGAAAGGCAGCACAGAAATTAAATTAAATTAAATTAGCCTGGGAAAGAGAAGGTTAAGCAATATGATAGCCATGCTGAAGTATTTGAAAGGTGATATGATAGCCATGCTGAAGTATTTGAAAGGATGTCATACTGAGGATGGAGCAAGCTTGTTTTTTGCTGTTCCAGGGCCTTTGCAGTCAGCTAGAAATAGTGCAAATAGAGTCCACTTTAACTGCCCTGGCTCAGTGCTAGGGAATCATGGGAATTGTATTTTTTTCTGCGACATTGAGCCTTCTCTGTCAGAGAGCTCTGGTGCCACAATAAACTACAGTCCCCATGATTCCCTAGCACTGAGTCAGGGCAGTTAAAGTGGACTCAATTTGCACTATTTCTGGCAGTCTGCAAAGGCCCCAAGACACAGAGCAATGGGTTTAAGCTATAGGAGAAGAAATTCCACCTCAATATTAGGTAGAATATAGTTTGGCATAAAATTATAACGTTAGTGTATTAACAGTGTATTCAGACAATGATTACCAATTTAATTTCTTTTTTAAAAATGTTTATTCTGTGTTACAAACAGAGCTACAAGGTTGTGAACTTTAAGGAACTCCTGGACTGTAATGACCTTCTTTGGTTTTGTCAATTTATGAAGCGCAAGGAAAAAAGCAATAAAAATGTAAGAAACCATAGACCAGGGGTAGGCAACCTTTTTGAGCCGGGGACCGGGTTGCTGTCCCTCAGACAATCGGGGGGCCGAAGCACCAAAAATAAATAAAGAAATAAAAATAAAAATTAAAAATTAAAAAACATTTAAAAAATAAAAAAATATGCATGCACACTCTCTCAGCCCCAGAAAAGCCATGGCAAAACCCTTGTGGAGATTTTGCCAAGAAAACCCCAAGAACAAGTAATAACAACAATAATCAATATCATCATGGCAGGCGGCGATGGCAGCAGGACCGGCCTGGGGCCGGTCCAAAGGCCTCGGGGGCCACATCCGGCCCCCCGGGCCTTGGGTTGCCTACCCCTGCCATAGACTTTAGCAAAACAGAGAAAGTGGTTGTTTTTACTTCTCGTTCTCCAGAGAGTTAACCAAGCCTAACACACTTATAAAAAGAACTGAGAAAAGGAAAAGTGCAAGAATTACAAGGATCACGTGCTATAAATATCTTCCTCTTAGGTCCAAAACAAACTGCAGAAATAAACCAGTTTTAATGCTAGAGAACAGTGGGAACTTTTGTGAGACATTTAGCCTTTTCTGTCAGAGAGCTCTGATGCCACAATAAACTACAATTCCCAGGATGCCCTAGAATTGAGCCAGGGCAGTTAAAGTGGTCTCAAACTGGATTATTTCTGCAGTGTGTTTTGGACCTTACATAGTTGGGGGGGTAATTGGGGGAAGCAAACTGTACGAAACCTTGTCTTGCATGTTTTGTCATTCTAAAAGAAAATATTCCCAAATCCAACATTCCCCAGAAAAAAAGACTTTCGAGGAAATGTCCCCGCCTCCATTATTTTTGGTTTCCTCAGTTGTTCATATCTCTAAAAGCCCTTTGAACAACATCTATAAATTGGCAAGATGTACTAATCAGGCTGAATTTGAGCATATCAGAACTGCTAAATTCTGATTAACAACCCAAATCCTGTCTAGTTGTGGTCGGAGGACCACAATGATATTGGAAATCATGTATTTTTAAATTGTATATTTTTAATCACTGTTATTTAATTTGTTTAGTATGCTTGGGGGGGATGAGGGAAGGAGGGATGGGATTTGATTCTGATTTATTTGTTTTGGTGTTTTGTATTGTTGTACACTGCCCTGATTGCCTAGCAGAGGGGCGGGATATAAATAATAATAATAATAATAATAATAATAATAATAATAATAATAATAATAATAATAATAATAAGTCCAACATCCTTTCCAAAGCAAACAGACAGATTTCTGGGTTTTTTAGTTCATGCTTTATTTGTCTTTCCACCTTCTCATGTTATCCTCACAACAACCCTGTAAAGTAGAAAGGGACTTTCTCAAAGTCACAATACTTTCACAGCTCAGTGAGAACTAGAACTTGGATCTTACAAGTCCCGTGTCCAAAACACACTGGAGAAATAATCCAGTTTGAGACCACTTTAACTGCCCTGGCTCAATGCTAGGGAATCCTAGGAATTGCAGTTTATTGTGGCACCAGAGCTCTCTGACAGAAAAGACTAAAGTCTCACAAAACTACAGCTCCCAGAAACCTTTAGGACTGAGCCAGGGCAGTTAAAGCAGTCTCAAACTGGGAAGTGTTTTGGATTTTGGATGGGTTTTCCCCCCCTCCAGATTTTGGAATATTTACATATACATAATGAAACATCTTGGAAATGAGACCCAAGTCTAAACCTAAAATTCATTTATGTCTCATGTACACATTATACACATAGCCAGAATGCAATTTTATCCAATTTTTTTTACTATTTATGTGCATGAAACAAAGTGTGTGTAGACTGAACCATCAGAAAGCAAAGGGGTCCCTATCTCAGCCACCTATGAAAAAAAAAAGCTTTGTTTTTTGGAAGATTGTGCAATCCCATATAAGGGAGACTCAACCGGTAATACAGCCTTATTAATATTGCCAATTTTTAATGAAAAGTTAATCAATCTGCTCTCAATATTCCTCAGTAAAACAAGAATTGAAATTTCAGGAAATCTCCCTGATGGAGAAAAATGCCATTTAAAATTCCTAAGGCAAGCTCATAGAGGATTACTTTGAAATTGCCTGTATATGGTATTTCTTCCTCAAAGGTGTTTCAAAAATGAAGGTTGTCCTCCAGCTAAACATACATAGTTTTGAACTTACGCACTGTAACTCAGTCTTGGTTTTTTATTTTTGTAGTTAAGTTCAACCACTCTGTTTTAGTTAAGTTCAACTACTCTGTTTATAACTCTTTTTGCATTGCTATCGACAGTGCGTGATTTATCATATGGGAAACAAAAATATATTTTTAAAAAATTTACAAGTAAAGAACCACCCTTCTACACCACATTGTCTAGAATTCCACCCTTTGGAATTTCATTCTGTAATGAAGCTAGACTGGCACTCTTCCTACTCTCCTTTCATAAGCAGGCAAAAACTTTTCTTTTCCAATAGGCTTTTAATATGTAATTGACCCCAGGAAGGCTTCTTATTGGAGTGTTTGCATTGGTATGTTTTTAATGGTTTGATATTTTTAACTTAGTATTTTAAGGATTTTACAGTTTTGACTTGTTATATTATTGTGGTGTTTTAACTGTGTTTTAAAATTGTACTCTTTTGTTGTTGTTTTTAAGCATATTTGTGAAATGCCTTGGGAGAAAGGCAGCATATAAAATCGATAGTCTCCCAGTGGCCAACTGGGTGCAAATGGGAGACTCGCAAGCAGGACATCCGCATGGTAGCAACCTCCACAGAGATATAGCTATTGGGGAGGTGGGACAAGAGAGGGTACTGCACCTCTAAATGAGAATTCTGCCCCCAAATGAAATTTCGCTTCATTGCGAGCATGATGTAGACATCTGAGCTTTAAACCAGGGTTCAAATCCCAGCTCAGCCATGGAAACCCACTGGGTATCTTGGGCAAGTCCCACTCTCTCAGCCTTAGAGGATGGCAATGGCAAAGCCCCTCTGAAGAAACTTGCCATGAAAACCCCATAATAAATTCACCTTGAAGGCACACAACAACAACAACCCAAATTTCCAGCATTGGAAAGAATGAGAGACTGAGAATTGTTCAAACCTAGAATGCTGATATTTGCTGTGTTTGCATCCCTTGGTCACTCTGCCTGCCCCTTTGCTTTGTATACCTAAACTTTTATTTCTCCGTGCTCAATGAAAGCTTTAAAACCAGGCTGTCGGCGGCCTCCCAGAGGACCTTCTCTGCCTC